CTTAGTATAATATGTATTTCCCACACATCAAGTGTGTATACATATTTTGAAACTGGTCTTGCGTGTAATTTCCGAATCGCTTCTATTCCGATCCGCATTTTCAACAGAACGATTTGTTGTGTATACGGAAGAGTTATCGGAAACACGAAATATTGTGATAACTATGGTAATTCATATCAGTTTGTAATTCGAGGATTAAAGTGTTATGTTTATGAGAGACGATGACGGGTTTATTCCATAAAACTATCTATCGAATCAGTGCAGATTTCAGAGCTTCACAAAAATGTTTATAATAGTTCCGTTTTAATATACACAAACTTCCGCTTTTTAAACACCTGGACTGTGTGCGTTAACTAACCGCGGTTTTTAGTATTGTGTTTTCTTTTTCCTGTTTTATTTATTATATTGCGGCATTTTTGTACGTTGTAGCCCTAATAGCATTTGGGTCCTGGAACTTTCGATTTAGGTACAATTTGGGTCGATAGAACGTCCCATTAGAGGCGTCAAACCTGCGGATATCCAATAACAAGTCGTAAGCCGTATATTAAAACATGAAGGTAAAAAGTATAGTATCTTTATAAACATGGCTTAAGACGTTCATGATGATGAATATAAAAGTATTATGGTTATCAATGCATGCAGTACAGTAGAATAGAGGAAACACTCAGTAATTGCTCGCCTTTCAGGTAACCAAATAGCACATCAACACTGTAATTAGGTCCACAATGCCCACTGCTTGGTCTGAGAAGCGATCTCGTCGACGCACAATTTGAATTGTGATGCGAATCGCGCCCGTATCTTTAAGAAAGTTTATCCTGGGAACAAGTACCCAGAGAAGGGATGGGAGGGCCGTCGCGTTGAGTGACACTAAGCAGACTAGTGAGCCCCATGGTACCCAATGGGTGTTTAGGCCTTAGGCCTTCGTGGTAGTTGGAGTATATGAAAAAAAACCTTCTGGAAAGATTTTGTGTGCTACAGGGTTGAACTCGCATGCAAAAATGTGTTTGAGATGTTTCGTAAGCTTACACTTATACAGGGTGTCCCGAAAAAGGTGTGCAATATTCTACTAGCGGTTTTTAGAGCTTAAAATAGGAAGAAAAGTTTATATAAACATAGGTCGACAAACGTCCCCTAAGGGCGTTACGGTCTTTTAAAGGGGCTTCCCTGAGGATGGTTTTTCCTTAATATTTCCGAAACGTGTTGAGATAAATACATAAAGTTTGGTATTCTAGCCTAGTTTTTTATGCCGGATTTAAAAATATTAACAATTTTAGACAGTTTTGTTTGGAAGCGTATGCAACAGGGACTGACTATTTTAGCCCCAAAATTTTTTTGTGATTCTAATAGAATATTGTACACTTTTTTCGGGATTTTGTTTTAAAACTTCCTATGCATGTAATTAGTTTGTCGCCTATGAGAACATCGAGAAAAGAGAGACTGCAAAAGCTCAAAAGCTCCTATTACCAAAAAGTTAAATATATTTCTGCATGTGTCACCGTCTTTTCAAGTATTATAGAAGTATCATTAACCATCAATTTTTTTGTTGTAAAACACATTTTTAACACGTACATGTACGTCTTTTTGATCATAGGTTCAATACAGCTTAAGTCTAATGGTCTACTAATATTAGCAAATTTTCGAGAAATAATTGTCTGGTTTTATTGGTGTAAGTTGTCCAAGGGGGTATTCAAAACATGGACGCATAGAATGGGTACACCAATTTTTGTGGGAAAACTTTTTATGCGACGACAAAGAATGAGAAAACGTGTTTTTTGCGATTCAATCGAAAGTGTTGACAGGAACGACAAAACTTTTCAAGTCAGATTTTTAGGTATTTATAAAACCTACAAAATGAGACCACACATAAGAAGATACGACTAAAAATGTAATGGCCGAAAAACGAGACAACATGCAGGGTTTGGCACTGGTAATGCGACGATAATTTCACGCACCTACTTGAAATTCTTCAAATCCGTAGGATTCACACTGCCAAATAACAGCAACAAAATTTGAGTATATTGTTCAAGTATTTTTTGAGAATTTCTAATTGTTTATTCCAAAACTTCCGTTTTCCGGCTATCACTACTAGTTAGGGTTTAGGCATTCAATAACAAAATACACGTGTTCACCTTGCCAATATGAATCTCTAACCATTCCGAAAGATAAATGTTATTTTTATGCGAAAAAAAGCTTACATTTTTTTCATCTAAACAAATTCAAACATTTCATATTTGTATACTAAGTGACATATAAATCCGAGCACCCAGTTTAAATGGTTTTATTTTAATAAAAGTTGGTGAATGTATTTATCTTACTGTAAATAACAAGTGAAAAAATGTTCAGCCTTATCAGTTGGACATTCCGGTTTCTATACTGCTTTTTTTTAATTCAATAACGCTCTAAAAATGAATATTTCAACCGCAGTAAGGAATCAACGTTGGCGGATTTTGGTTCTTGACATCCTTTACGATCGGTTACGATGTCTAGAGTACGGAGACCTGTACGATTTCGTCAACTTAGTGAGTTTGATAGGGGCCGTATAGTGGGACTTCGGGAAGCTGGACTTTCTTTTCGGGCAATTGCAGTTAGAGTGCAAAGAAGTGTAGACATTGTGGTTAGGTGTTGTCAGGCATGGCTTCGAGAAGGCCGTACGCAAAGAGCAAGGGGCACTGGACGCCGCCGTAGAAAAACAGACCGTGAAGATCGCCGCCTAAGATTATTGGCCTTAAGGGACCGTTTCTCCACTACCAGGTCCATTGCAAATGAATGGTTTGCAGAACACGGAAGACCTATTGGCATGCGAAGTGTTTACCGACGAATGAGAAGTTTTGGCTTGTTTTCGTACCGGCCACACTGGATCCTCCCTTTAACTCGAGAACACCGACGTAATCGCCTTGAGTGGTGCAGACAACGGTCACTCTGGGATCAGGAATGGAACAGTATTGTCTTTAGTGACGAGTCTCGATTTTGTTTAGTCATGCACGATGGTCGTGCCAGGGTTAGAAGGCGACGTGGTGAAAGGAGGAATCCACAGTTGTTTGTTGAAAGACATGTTCATCACACTGTTGGAGTTATAGTTTGGGTTGCTATAGCTTATGGTTCCAGGTCACCTTTAATCTTCATCAGAGGTAACATGAACGCGCAGCGTTATATCCACGAAGTTCTAGAACCCCATCTTTTACCCTATCTTGACACCCTGGCAGATCCAACTTTCCAACAAGATAATGCCCGACCACATGTTGCAAGAGTCACAATAGACTTCTTTCAACATAATGATGTCACATTGTTACCATGGCCACCAAGATCTCCCGACTTATCCCCAATTGAGCACGTGTGGGATATGATGGGTAGGAGATTGCTCAATTTGCAACGTCCTCCTCAGACTCTAGAAGCACTTCGAGAGGAGTTGCTGGTTGCATGGAATGAGATACCACAGGAGGACATTGACCACCTGATCAGAAGCATGCCTAGGCGCGTTGGAGAATGCGTAGCACATCAGGGTGCATCCACACATTATTAAAGGTCAAAGGGCTTTAAAGCAGTGCAATCATTTTGTTAGTTATTATGCTTCATTTAAGTACTTATACAAAATTTTATTAAAATAAAACCATTTAAACTGGGTGTTCGGATTTATATGTCACTTAGTATATAAATTAGTAGTGATCACCGGCGTTTTGGGATAAAGGATTAGAAATTCTCAAAAACTACTTGACCAGTCTACACCAATTTTGTGATGAATCTTACGAGTTTGAAGAATTTCAAGTATTTGCGAGAAACCATCGTCGATTTACCAACAAGTGCCAAAACCTGCAGTTTGCCTGGGTTTTCGGTGCTAACTTTTTTGCTATTAGTCGGACCTTTTTACATGTGGTCTCATTTTATAGGTGTGATAAGTACCTAAAAATCTTATATAAAGAGTTTTTCGTTCCTTCCAGCACTTTTGATTAGATCCCAAAAAACACGTTTTCTCATTCTTTGTAAAAATTAATGTACCCATTTCATGAGTCCATGTTTTGAATACCCCCTTGAACAACTTGCAGCAATAAAACCATACTTTACAATTATTTCCCAAGCCAGGGGTATTTTTGTATTAGACTATAAGTCAAACATTGAGAGATAATTTTTGATAATGACTGGTTAGTATGATCTGAATGAATCGTAGTGACCTGTTATCGTATTTTTGCCATTGCCGTATGATTCGGAATGGTTTCTTACAGCAGGGACCTAATTAAGTGGATTTTATTCCGAATTTTCAAAAAACAAATGAAAATCACCTTTTTATAATTCCTTACCTCAAACGCCAATCAACCCCTAAGGAACGTTTATAAAACGGACTCTGAATTACCTATTCGTATTGACCTAAGGAGAATTTGTCTCTCGTTTCATTCCAAAAATATAACGTATCCTTTTCTAGGTATCTAGTTATTTTAAACAGTTGTGTGGGTCAAGAACTATTTATGTCATTTTGCTGATAAAATAAATATTGTCGAAAGCTTTGACCAACCTGCAGTTTTTCAAAAAGAGAGAGTCGTGGAAGGACCATATAGACAGAATAATCGAAAGGAATTCCTCTCAAACTTTTTTATCATGTTGAGCATACGACCTTTAGTATTTCATACTTTTACAATTTGCTGTCCTTTTAACTTCTGGGAAACATAACTATAGCTATGCAAATTTCCGAATAAACTTGACCCTGACATTAGTAAAGCGACAATAATTTTGAATTAATCTTAAATCAACTCATTGTAGTGCCCTATAAATTTGTCTTTATTTTAATTCCCAAAATATGATGTATCTCTTTTTAGGCCTCACTGGGAGGAAAATAATTTTTTGAAAAGTATCTCCTTGGCGTATCACTTTGAACATTAATTAATATTTTAGTGATATGTATGCATCCTTCCAGCAATAAAATTTAAACTTGTTTATCATGCTCAAATTCCTACATCGTCTGTTGACGCAACTGATCTTATTCGATATATCTAATAAAACTTTCGACTTACCTTGCGACCAGCGATAATTTTCGCAAACACACAAACACCGACTGACTGACGTACCGACACACAAACAACGCGGACGCGGACGCGATGGACGTGATTGCGGGTGTCTAACAACTCGCTGATTCCAAGATGATGTTTCTGCCGACTGTTAATCAATCTCATTAGAGGCGCGAGAATCTCATGATGTTCGCGGCTTTTGATTTGCGTTCAAACTGACGGTGATGTTCCGACGACGGTATTTCCTGATAGCAGCGGCAGAGCTTGCGCCACGCGACCACGTGCTTTGATATTCTCTTACGGACTGTGTTTGTTTTGAAGAACAGCTTTTTCCAACTCTTCGGATGACAAACGTTGGAATCAATGGCGTATACAGGGTGTCCGAGAAGTCGACGTCAAGCCGAAACCGGGTGATAGGCAAAGTCATAACAACTATCAGAAAAATATTTAAAAAAATTTTATGTATGTGTTTTGAAAATTATAGGTCTTTGAAAAAAATATAGAAATTTCACACCCTACGGCAGTCTGTCAACTCCTGTTACTACAAATATTAACTTTTTTTGGATTTTATTTTTACAATGTAATGATGAATAATGCATCTTCAAACTGGTGTCTCAACCTTACTGCCAACTTTTCTCGTTCAGGAAAAATTGCCACTTATTTCCCACCCAAGTATTCCAAAGTAAAACTTTGCTCAACTTTAACTGGCTGTACTGGAAAAAAATGTATTACGAGAGTTTGGCAAGTAACCTTAAAAGTTGGAGCATTCAATAAGGATTCCAAAATGATATAACACTTAGAAGATTACTCGTTAACTTATGCACAATTATTTATTTGAAGAAAAACTGATGAAAATTTTTCAAAATTTCCTAATTAAACAGCGATTATGAAAACGCACAAGGACCCTTAAGGATAACTGTTTGCACAACACTGGGCGTCAAAATGCTGCTGATGATGATTTACCTTTACAGCAAATGCTCAAACTGTTTTCCTTCAGCCGCAATACACGCTCGACATCTTCTTAAAAAAGCTCGGGTTATTAAACGAGCGAATCCACGGTTATTAACAAACTCAGCTGCTTCCAATAGTCTTTGCCGTAGCTCAGCCACATTTTGAATCGGCTTGAAATACACTTTTTCTTTTACAGTTCCCCAGTAAAAAAATCTAAAGGATTCAAATCAGGTGATCGGGCTGGCCACGGTATTGTACCAGAGCGCCTTATCCATCTGCCTAGAAAGCTTTGATCGAGATACTCTCTCACTGAGAGTGCATAGTGCGCTGGGCAGCCATCATGCTGAAACCACATGTCCATGTAAATACTCAGTGGCACGTCCACCAATAAATTTTGTACATGATTTTTCAAAAAATCCAAATAAACTTCAGCAGTCAAAGTCTCTGGGAACTCAAACGGACCGATTATTTTACCATTTAAAATTCCTGTCCAATGGTTTATCTTGAAGCGATATTGAGATTTATCTTCTCTCATCAAATGTGGGTTTGCTACGTGCCACTCGTGTAAGTTATGCAGGTTCATGTACCCATCTTTCTTAAATGTGGTCTCATCCGACCATAAAATTTTTTCAAAGAACTGTGGATCTTTCCTGTGTCTTTCTAACATTGTGCGACAGAAAGCAACTCGGGGCTCATAATCCCGGGGCAGGAGAGGTTGAACACGTATGTGGTACGGATGAAGCACATTACTTACTTGCTGATACCGATCAGTACTCCTTCGTTTACTGCGCATCTTTACATGTTGGTGCTGGTTGATTTCGTACTGTTACTAATTTTGGATTCGTGAACTGGACTATTGATCGCTTGTGATTTGGATTTGGACTGTTTAATTGCTCTTCAAAACAACATTTGCTTTCCTTAGACTATCTTTGATAGTGTGATTGTGCAGTGCCGCTATGTCCGTGTACACCGTACAAGAATATGCTAACATGCACCTCATTTATGGGGAATGCAGATGCAACGCTAGTGCTGCAGCGAGACTTTACTGTGAGAGGTACCCTTAATGCAGCTCGTCATCCAGATCATCGAGTGTTCACAAATGTGCACCGCTTACTGTTCTCAGAGGGCCAACTACCAAAGAAGCTGCTGCTGTTGACGAGATCTGTTCGTGCCAGATCAAGTCCTCGGTAATCTGGACTCCGACCAGCCGAAATGAACGGCTCACAAGTTGCACTTTGGAATATTTTTTCAAATGGCCGTTCATTTTAGGGTTAGTTCGTAACCCTAGAATATAAAATCACCATCTTTAAAAATGCCGAACTGGCAGGCTGTGAAAGTTGAGCCTCTTTGTACATTGTTTCGTTTATAACTCAACAACAAAAATCAAAATGCTATAGTACAACAATTTTCTTCTCTTGGGAGGATCTATCCGAATATGTAATGAGATCCATTCAAACAAATTATCAGAATCTGTCATTTTTTTCGATTTGAACGTCCTATATCCAGTTAGACCTTTCTAAAAGAAGGATATTATTAGAACATACATTTTGATGATTAGTTGTATATACAGGGTGTCCGCAAAGTTGGGGTTTTCCTTTTCAGAAACATCTACCCTTGAAATAACAAAGGTAATTGTAGTGAAACGAGGGCGACCAAGTAAAAAAAAATAAAGGAAAAAGTACTCATTCTCCAGTTGACGAGAAGGGCTAAGTACGTCTCTGCCCGAAATCATACCGCTCCAACAGAAAATGAAATCAGCTGAAGCGCTACCGAGCAGACGCAGAAACCACATTGATTGTCTTACACTTAATGGCACATCTTCTAACAAGGAAGGCAAAATGTTGCGTATAAAGTCTAGGTATTGCATCCCGTCCAATCGATTTGGGAGAATAAATGGTCCAATGAGCATACCGTTCACCATGCCAGCCCAAACATTCACCGAAAATGTTTGTTGAAAATGTCCAAACATGAGTGTTGCGAAAGTTATTCACCCCATTACGCGTGAACGTAGATTCGTCTGTCAGCAATATGCACTTCAAAAAGTCCGGATTATTGTCATGTTGATGCAACAACCACTCACAAAACCGCACTCTTGCTGGAAAATCGTCAGGTTGAAGGGCTTGTACACGTTGGACGTGAAACGGATACAGCCCCTCTTCACGCAGCGTTTGCCACACTTTAGTTTTTGATATTTACACTTCTCTAGCCACGTCTATAGTGCTTGTTGTTTTTTGAAACGCAATTGATTATACGAGTTCGTTTACCTCTACACGCGTGACTGTAACCGTCGGTTGAAGGTTGCATACTAACCTGACAGACTGACTCCGACCCAGTTCTGCCGTCGGGTTGAGACCTTGTACCAGTCGGGGATATTCAGATATGTTTGATGTTGCAGAGCCCTTTATTTCGGTTCCCTTAAGACATTGGTGTATATGGTAGTAAGAAAAATTGCTTATGTTTTCAAGATCTACACGTCGTGTAAAGGAAAACCCCAACTTTGCGGACACCCTGTATAGTATATAGGATATACAATATGAGAAAAGACATCAAGTTGGTTGGCTTTGCATATTCCATGCAAGTCATCAATTCATAAAAGATTATGTTCAGCACAAGTTAGACCCTATCGAACTGAGACAGCACCATATCCTACTATACCTTATATTCTACTCATGAGTTGCGAGTACGAATCAGCTGTCTGTGGTTGCCTGTCTTTGGTTGGACTGACGAAAGCAGTATGTTCAAGAAGTCTAAGAAAAAAGAGTTATGAACATGTAGGTATAACTGGGAAATTAAACGCATCAAGTTTGCAAGCAGGTCTGTTCTATTAGTCCATGATATCCTTTTCCTGCCCTGTGCGTAGTACCGTCCATCTGGCAACGTCGCGTCGCCTCTCCGCAACATGTGAAAGCATGATGCGGCAGAGCGCCGACAGAGCACTAGTCATGCAGGAGACATACGTACACCAGCACGCCGGCCGCGGCCGTTGAAGTCAGCAGGAACAGAGACGCTTGCCGAAAATATTTTTCTATCGTTTTAAATTTTAAGGAAAAAAAAAACTGGGTGATCTATAATTTCTGAGATATGTCCAATGTGCGTAGAATTATCACGTTTGGGAGTGTATTAATATACTAACATAAAAAAAACACCTTCCCTCACCCCCCTACAGCCTCTCACCCTACAATTTTTTATCTAAACATTTTTTAGAAAATTATCAGGAGCCTCTGAAGCGTCAAAAAACGAAGTTTGAGCGGCTTTTATCATTTTGTTTTCGGCATTTCTTCCGCCGCCAATTCACCGATTTCCAAGAACTACAAAACCTTTTCGTCCTTGTTGCAGTACCTGATGTGAAAATTTTATCAAAGGCCGACCGGTAGTTTCCTAGTTATAGACAGGTCAAGGATTAGCGACTATTGAAAGGGTTAAAAAATGCAATTGCAATTCAACTGTAAAAGAGATTTACTCGAGAAAATGTGCGAAAAACGGAACAAAAGGAGGTTCAAACTGTGATGGAGAAACAAAGAAATCATCACGATGCTAAATATGTAATTTACACAAAAATACAATGAACTGTGTAACCCATGTATCTCACCACGTTTTTGCGCCGAATTGATATGCTAAGTATAGAGAAACATAACGATTTTAACAAAGTTTATTTAGTTTAGTCTTCAACTAGTTTAAACAGTATATATCAGTCAAGAATACTGAAGCTGTCATAATAAGGTAACAAATGCTCCATGTGCTTCCTGTACCTTTCGTTGTTGTAAGCATGGTATCGAAACCCCTCCTTGGATGCGTCCTTTATGATATTTTCAAAAGAAGCGTCGGCCCTGTTCGATGCTTTCACAAATGGTAGGACCGTTGCTGCACCCATCAGACCTGAAAATAATAGTTATTTACGGGTAAGTACAGTGACGTAGCATGGGTTTTTGCCGCAAATTAGCCGCCCCTCTCTATTTCAATTATCAGTTTAAAAAAATTGTCAAATGGAGTATTTTTAAATTCTTTGAAAAAAAATGGGTAAAATTCGCAACAGTACAATAGGTAACCCGAGCAATACGTTGCTTGTAGGCTTCAGCGGGCCCGAAATTAATGCACATATGTGTAGCTGACCAAGTTATCAATTTCTAGATTCGTTGAAATAATTCGTCATGCCGCCTACCCTTGTAAAGATTCGTCGCATCCATAAAATAGAAATAAACATAAAAACTAAGGGCAGAACAAACACTCGCATCTGCAAACCACCCAGTGAACGCCAAGGGAAACCAAATGCATATTTCGAAGAAAATAGGACCGGATGCTATAAAGTTGGACTTTTCAAATATGCCGGGACAAAAACAGGGTTTGGAGATATATTCTGTAATAACATTTGGTCGCTATAACTATAAAGTTACAACCAAAGGAGTGCTGACAAATTTGAATCTCAACCATTTGGGTAGCAGATGTTAGAAACTACCCCGAGCGCTGAACGGTCACGCGTCAGAGGCGTATCATGGGATATCTGAGACTTCCGAAGGCTAGCATATTACTAAAAATTGTCATAATTGTGGGAAAATATGAAAAAGAAGAGACAAACAGCTAGGTTTTTAGTAGAATTTTCCCCTAGCTGATAGGAGCAGGTGCACCAGGCTGGATACGATTCTACCGTATGTCAACGTACGCAGGTGAAACTAACGAAAGACTGCGTAGTTCCAATGAAGCTAATTTTGTTAAAAATATATAAAAAAATTACAGAAGAGAGTCACCGTTAGTTTTACCTAAATGCATTGTATAATTTTATAATTATTTAAGAGGACATCTCGAATTGTGGCCTCAGCATTACAGGAATTCCCAATCCATTGAAATTATTGAAAACTGCAGGGTCTGCCCCAAAGCAATTAAAGCCTCGAGACGCCACTGAAGGGGCGCCACTTAAGGGAAGACTGTACGCTGACGACACTCCTTGAGGTGGGACAAGGTCATTTTGAATACAAAAATTAAGTCTAACAATCATTGGTCAGGTTAGTCTCCATCTTTAGATAATCAGACGCCCATTGCAAGGGTTGTAAACTGATCGACCAATGAGGAGACAAGGGCTGAACACACTAAGTCAAAATGACCAGCCTTCTGATGGAGGGGAAAATCCGCAACTGACCTCCGATAATTTTGAAACTAAAAACGTCAGTTCTTCTCTTATCTTTGATTTGTACGATTGACAAAGTTGCTTCGATTTTCCCTCAGTTAGTGGCTGTTAATAAGTGTTGCATTGGCAGAATTTGTGTTGTGTTCTCATTAGTAAGCACTTCCAGTTACTTAAAAGGGGGCTTTTCCCTTCTTTATTAGCCCTTCTGGCTAAAGCTAAAATAACACCGAGTCAACTAAGGATTCTATGCATTAGTTTGATTAATTAGCATTGTAAAGTGAGATTCTTGAGTTTAATTTATGTTATTAGGTTCTAACTTAAATTTATTGTAAATTAGTTGTCACCGTTCCTTTTAACGTAGTCGTAATTCACTCCTCCAGTGATCTTTTCCCCAGCCTATTAGTTTTACGAAGTTAACTGTTCTTTGTCATTGCTTTTGAGTCTGTAAGTGAATTATTAATAAAAATGAGTCTCCTTTAACTTGAGTTCCATTAATTTCATTAACTGAAGCTAACTGAGTTCGAGGGTTCCGAAAGTATTAATTCGGGCGTTTACCACATTCTCTGATTACTTGGAGAACCAAGGAAGCATCATTCCGCGTAAAGTGAGTGTTTCAATGAGTCAAGATTATATGACTTTGTCAGGTTCTACGCGAGTCTACCTCCTATAGGAAGACGAGTAAAAGGTAACAGAATTTGAAATTCGACGGGTCTCGGACCAGTCCAGAAATTGAAGTATTGGACTGGAAATCCGAACTGTACAGGGTGTCCGCAAAGTTGGGGTTTTCCTTTACACGACGTGTAGATCTTGAAAACATAAGCAATTTTTCTTAGTACCATATACACCAATGTCTTAAGGGAACCGAGATAAAGGGCTCTGCAACATCAAAAATATCTGAATACCGTCCTGTAGCCGCGACATTACGGAGTGGTCCAATGTCACTGGCTCAACCCGACGACAGAACTGGGTCGGGGTCAGTGTGTCAGGTCAGTATGCAACCTTCAACCGACGGTTACGGTCACGCCTGTAGAGGTAATCGCGTAGACGAGAATCCCTCTACAAGCACTAGAGACGTGGCTAGAGAAGTGCAAGTATCAAAAACGAAAGTGTGGCAAACGCTGCGTGAAGAGAGGCTGTATCCGTTTCACGTCCAACGTGTACAAGCCCTTCAACCCGACGATTTTCCAGCAAGAGTGCGGTTTTGTGAGTGGTTGTTGCATCAACATGACAATAATCCGGACTCTTTGAAGTGCATATTGGTGACAGACGAATCTACATTCACGCGTAATGAGGTGAATAATTTTCGCAACACTCATGTTTGGTCAGTAAAAAATCCGCACGCTGTCCGTCGGGCACATTTTCAACAAACATTTTCGGTGAATGTTTGGGCTGGCATGGTGCGTCTGCTCGGTAGCGCATCAGCTGATTTCATTTTCTGTTGGGACGGTATGATTTCGCGCAGAGACGTACTTAGCCCTTCTCGTCAACTGGAGATTGAGTACTTTTTCCTTTATTTTTTTTTACTTGGTCGCCCTCGTTTCACTACACATTACCTTTGTTATTTCAAGGGTAGTTGTTTCTGAAAAGGAAAACCCCAACTTTGCGGACACCCTGTATATTCAAGGCACGACATTGAGAGGTCCTTGAGTCTCGGACGAAGATCCTGTTACATGTGCAACTACAAATGTAGGAGACAGGAGAAAGGCATATATCAAATAGTAAAGAAATAATGGGCCAAATCAGCAAAAAGAAGTGAAGTGGCTATAACCGGCCGCGTGGTTGTGGTTAGATGTCACCTTGAGTACTCGAGATCTTCTGGTCATTATACTACAATCTGTAGGTTGGTCCTTGTTGGTGACTTCGTGGATCGTTGTGTCCCCTCTCTATCTTCGTTTCCACAGGTTACACCCGTATTCGGATGTATGGGCATGTGTATTCTCAACATTGTAGCAATGTTTGACCAGCCATTTTCAAGCTTGGACACAATAATATATTTGAATAAGCCCAGAGAGCTGGATTTAGAGCTCTTTTTTACAATCTGGATTTATTTCAGCCACGAAAGCGCTAAGTTCGTCCAGGCCCAATATCACTTCAGGCTGGTAAAATCTTTAATTTCAGCAGTATGTCTACTAGGGTGCATTTGTAAATTACCTGGCAATGCAATACCGTTCACAGTAATGGAGTGTAGATTGACAGATGCAATTTTACTCTGGAATGATGTGAAAATTTATTTTTAGAACGCCTAAACCATTTTAGTTATACTAAGTGACATATAAATCCGAACACCCAGTTTAAATGGTTTTATTTTAACAAAACTTTGTATAAGTACTTAATGAAGCATAATAAGTAAATGATAAAAATTTCAAAATGATTGCACTGCTTTAAAGCCCTTTGACCTTTAATAATGTGTGGATGCACCCTGATGTGCTACGCATTCTCCAACGCGCCTAGTCATGCTTCTGATCAGGTAGTCAATGTCCTCCTGTGGTATCTCATTCCATGCAACCACCAACTCCTCTCGAAGTGCTTCTAGAGTCTGAGGAGGACGTTGCAAATTGGCAATCTCCTACCCATCACATCCCACACGTGCTCAATTGGGGATAAGTCGGGAGATCTTGGTGGCCATGGTAACAATGTGACATCATTATGTTGAAAGAAGTCTATTGTGACTCTTGCAACATGTGGTCGGGCATTATCTTGTTGGAAAGTTGGATCTGCCAGGGTGTCAAAATAGGGTAAAAGATGGGGTTCTAGAACTTCGCGGATATAACGCTGCGCGTTCATGTTACCTCTGATGAAGGTGACCTGGAACCATAAGCTATAGCACCCCAAACCATAACTCCAACAGTGTGATGAACATGTCTGTCAACAAAAAACTGTGGTTCCTCCTTTCACCACGTCGCCTTCTAACCCTGGCACACCATCGTGCATGCCTAAACAAAATCGAGACTCGTAACTAAAGACAATACTGTTCCATTCCTGATCCCAGAGTGACCGTTGTCTGCACCACTCAAGGCGATTACGTCGGTGTTCTCGAGTTAAAGCGAGGACCCAGTGTGGCCAAAACTTCTCATTCGTCGGTAAACACTTCGCATGCCAATAGGTCTTCCGTGTTCTGCAAACCATTCATTTGCAATGGACCTGGTAGTGGAGAAACGGTCCTTTAAGGCCAATAATCTTAGGCGGCGATCTTCACGGTCTGTTGTTCTACGGCGGCATCCAGTGCCCCTTGCTCTTTGCGTACGGCCTTCTCGAAGCCATGCCTGACAACACCTAACCACAGTGTCTACACTTCTTTGCACTCTAACTGCAATTGCCCGAAAAGAAAGTCCAGCTTCCCGAAGTCCCACTATACGGCCCCTATCAAACTCACTAAGTTGACGAAATCGTACAGGTCTCCGTACTCTAGGCATCGTAACCGATCGTAAAGGATGTCAAGAACCAAAATCCGCCAACGTGGATTCTTTACTGCGGCTGAAATATTCATTTTTAGAGCGTTAGTGAATTAAAAAAAAGCAGTATAAAAACCGGAATGTCCAACTGATAAGGCTGAAAATTTTTTCACTTGTTATTTACAGTAAGATAAATACATTCACCAACTTTTATTAAAATAAAACCATTTAAACTGGGTGTTCGGATTTATATGTCACTTAGTATATTATAAGATATCCTAGAGATACGAGGCAGCATTTATCACGGAAAATGTATATTCTGCAAATTTTGATAACCAAATAAAATATACAAACAATTAACCATGAGAATGACAAGTGACATAACTATTATTCCCGAGGTTTTGAGCTCGCAAAGAAAATCACACTTAAGATCCTTGGATACATCAAAAAGTTTGAGCAATTTTTATTTTCTTTTTCGTTTTTGGTATTTTTCCGCGCCGCCCCGGGACCGTTTTCCAAAAACTATAAAGCTTTCATGATCTTGTAGACTTACCGAAGAATGCCCTGTAGTGGTAATCCTTTTTGAACTGCTCTCTAGTTGGTACCCTTTCTAGAGAATACTGTAATTTAGCTAGATTTGCAAGTAGTTGTGCGTAATAGTGATCGAGTATGATTTCAATGCATTCGAGTTTCACTTCGATCTTTGTACTTGTCGCTATAAAGTAATGCAAATCAATGGCTGGACTCGTGAAAATGTTCATCTGAAAATCCACCTGAAATAGGAAAAACGGAGTCAAGTTGGTTGACTGTCATTAACTCAAAAGAGATTATATTCGGCCCAAGTTAGTCTCATTGGCTGGGAACATGTTTAACCAAGCAACTAAATGGATCAAGTCAGTCAAACAGGCTCATACAATCAGTCCATAGCCTGCCGCATCAACGTTCACTCACAATGGGGAGTCAACTCATATGGAAGAATGGGAAACAAGGTGATTTTGCCTGATGACAATCCGACAACACTGTGGCATCAAAGTAAAATGACGGCTTTTGACAAATATTACGGCTTATTGCTGCCATTTTTCAAATTCCCGCCGAAAATGGAAGCCTCGTAACCTCTCTTTTCTTTGTATGGCGACAAAGGTTTTGATATATTTTATATTAAATGTCCTCTTTATAACGTTAAAACAGAAATCAGCTAAGCAACCTAGGTTTCTCTTGGATCTCTTAGAAAAAGGTTTGGAAATAGATATGGCGCTTACTGTGAATTTCATGTAGAAAAAAGTTACATATGTAGAGAACAACCAGGGTACAGGCACTTCCTTGCACTGCCAAACCCTGGTGATCAGAAATAGAGAGAAAAGTAATCACCTACTACTACTATTTTCTTCAGGGAATATATCTACAGAGTACAGAGTTTAATGTTTCAATATCATGGCTGATGGAAGTTTGTGTAAAATTGAGTTATTTGTAGAGCTTCTCTGATATATCAGTCTGGTCATATTCTGTGGTGGATATGAGACACTCACTACAGTTTCTGTAATTTTCAAACTTAAATATGTGCTTTTTTACATTCTCAAATATGTCCAGTTTCCATAGGAGCTAAATATGAATATGGATTGAACATCACATATTCTGCGGGACATTCTTGAACGACAGCACAACATTAATTTATTTCTTGTGAGAATAAGGAAATAGACATACACCAAAGTCATAAAATAACAAAGTCATCAGATTCCGAGAAGAATATGATGATTAGGTGTAAACATACGACTTGAACACGCCGTGCGCCATGTAGGTAATTCTAGCTGTTTGTTTATGAATAGGATTTGATTAAAAATACGAGTTGTTGCAGAAAATGTCATGTCAAGTATGGCATAAATGGTCCACCATATCATTGCATATGGTATTTTTGAGAGAATAGGTCTCAGTTTGTAAGTATCGACTATCAAGTCCGACATGGTTCACAACCACATAGGGCTCTATTCTAGGACCTGTGTCATTCAGTCTATACTTAAATGACCTTGAGTACTGTTGTTCTGAAGATAGATTCATTTTATATGCAGACGATACTTCAGTGGTGATGTCGAATAAGTGTGAGGTTATCTTAGAGAGAGATTGAGAAGTTTTACTGCAAAATAGGTATTCACAAGTGGTTTAGCAGCTATCAGCCCTATTTAAATTTTGAAAAAACATCAGTTGTCCAATTTCACGACATCAAGAAGAAACCTATGGCATTAAATGTCACTTTTAGTGGCTGAAGAATGTCCCTTGATATGCAAATAAGATTCTTGGGCTTGTATCTAGATACAGGTTTAAATTTAAGATACATTGCTTCAAAGATGAACTCCCAATCTCATATCTCAAAATTTGCGAACGGTCTTTACTGAAGTACATATAGTTTCTGTTTACTACATATATATGGTGTATCTGAAGTCACTTGAAATAGCATAAAAGCCTTTGGTCGGCGCGTCCTTTGTAATTTCATGACGTATCATAGGCGTGCGGCATTTATTTAGAACGATAATAATAATGTTTTTATATCACAATAAATGGATTTTACTATCTTCTTATTTTTTTGATTTGGGATAAAAAATACTTATATTGGGAGTTTAATTTATGTTGACTGAAAGTTAAGAAATGGAAAAATTACAGAATTCCAACGTTTGACATAGGCAAATATTTACATAGCAGGTAGGTATATAAAGACTTACATTATAGGTATTTATATATCATCCTCGCCTTCGGAGCTGTCGCTAGAGTCATCTTGTAGAGGAATTACAACGGGATTTACAGGAGGCAAAACAGAATATTCATTTTCTGTTTCAATAATATGCCTAGAACACTGCTTCCATAGGTCTGTGGCAGCAATATGAGATACTGCATCTCTTATTGTGGCCAATAGCGATTCACTTAATTGAGGGGTCTGATTATGTTTTCTTACTTTTTTTTTAAAGCAGCCCAGACCAACTTAATCGGGTTAAAAATGCAGTAATAGGGAGGTTGACGTAATACTTCATGGCCATTTTGCTGAAGCAGATTGTCAACAACATACTCTTTTTCAAATTTTTGTCTTTTAATAAGATCCAATAATATGGCTTTGGTTGATTTTTGTGGTATTTCCATTCCCTTATCCTTCATAAAATCAATAATGTCTTGTTTTTTTGTGCCTGTATTCGGAATTTTGTTTTTCTGTCGGGAATGGTATGGCGCATTGTCCATGATAATCACTGAATTTGGGGAAATGTTTGGTATTAACTGCTGCTCTATCCACTTCTCAAATAAGTCGGAGGTCATGTCATGATAATCGGCACATGATTCTTTGATATTTTTGGCAGATAACAGCAAGGCATTAGGTATAAATCCATTTTCACTGCCAGCATGGAGAATAATGATTCGTTTTCCACGGTTGCATGGTGCATTTAAAATGCACTTGTTGCTGTCGTCAACCCAGCCGTACTGCACAACATCATGGGTATCATACCACGTTTCATCCAGGTAAATCAGATTTCTTTTCTGCTCTCTATAGATTTTAACTTTGTGCAAAAATTCTTGGCGCAATTCAACGATTCGAGACGACTCCATAATCACTATTCTTTTATCTAATTTTTTGTATTGAAAACCACACAGTTTTACAATACAGTGCAGTGAGAATAAGCATTTGTAATTATAAAAATTTTCAGGATAATCTTTTAATTTATCCCGTATCATTTCCAACGTGGGCACCAAATTTTCTTTATAAAATCCGTATATTATACGACGAATATCTGCCTGAAAACCCACGTCTATTCTTTTTAATTTTTGCCCTATGCGCTTTCTGTGGAAGGAATGGTTGACTTCATATCCCCTTTTTATAACCCGATAAATGGTAGACCGACTGATTTTTGTCAGGATACAAATTCTGTTAAAAGTTTGATTTTGCGAGGAATCTGGATTTTCGTTTTTCAGACAATCATACATATTTAGGATTACTCTTTGGGTCTGTCCCTCTAAATCTTTATGAAAGAATTCTGCCTGCACAGGTTCATCAACCATCTCCTCGTGGCTTGGAGCATTTTCCCAAGGTGAAAAGAGCCATATTTAGGACACACAAGAACAATCAACACAACAATTAAATCAACAAGTAAACTGAGTATTCAAAAGTCAAAAACACACAAACTAATAAAATCTATGAAAAAACACGGACCGACTAAAGAAAACACGTTTATTCACCGCTACACGGCACTGGCTAAACTGTTTCAATTTTCAGTAGCCACCTGCACTTGTTCCGAGCTCTGAAATACACGCTTTGTCATTGGCTATGTCCACGCATAGGCGTGCTTTACTCCACGTGGACCGGTGAAGCTGCCTTTGATCTCTTATACGGGGGATATTTGCTGCGAAATTTGGCGATCTTTGCAGCAACAGAGCGTGTTAAATATAGATATATAAAACGCACCCGGTATTTCAGTGTTTCAAGTGACTTCAGATAAAGTATACATATATTGATTTTGTGTTGTTTTATTAGCTTTTACTCTGACAAATCCTATAATACAAAGTTTGAATTTGATTTGATGTTAGCTCACCGAGAGTGGCTACAAGATGCTACCGATGCTTCACGAGTGTCTCCAGATCGTTTTCCTGGACGTTTTCATCCTGCGTCGCATAGGTTTGTTTATTTCGTACAAGGGCTGCTTGCAGAAACGCCGATGCGGGCACAGGAGGATACGTAGCCAGCCCCGAATTTTACAAGTTGAGGAAGAAGATAAAAAACTTGTTAATATGGATCTAACGGCGACAGAGACGAACAATATTTGTAAACATATGGTAGGGTGGTACTTGAAATTTCTAAGTAATCAGTACTCTTTAGTTTTTTGCCGCATGATAGTTTTGTTATTTCAAACGTAGTTGTTTCTGGAAAGGAAAGTGCTGCGCAAAGTTAAAAACGTACATTGGAAATTCCTAGTTCCTACAAAACCTCTCGCACTTCTACAAATGTGACATAGAGATATTTTTACTCACAAATCTCATATCATCCAGCTCTCCTCCTTCCCCATATGAGAACATCATGTTGTTTACCCACAAGTCTCCGTGATTGAGTACGTGAAATCCTCCCAGCTTCCGTTTTTGAGCATCGAATCCCCTTTGTAAGGCTTCTTCCCCCAATGCTTGCAGTTTGTATCCAAATTTCTCGTAACCCGGCCAGCGGGAACAAGCATCTACTAGTCCTTTGTAACCTGCAGAGACCCAGTCTCTAACTATTTGGTTATCGGCGTATAGTCCTTCTGAGTAATGTTTCACCAGAGATGGATCCTGAAAATGCCAACTCTATGAATAGAACAATGTTATTTTGCAAGAGAAGCATTATCTGGTTTCCGTCTGATTTATTACCTCCTTTAATCTCCTTGCTATGAGTTATAGTTGGATACTTATTGATTATACATAAATTTTTGTGGTCGGTATGTATGGGCGTCCGCATGGAGGGGGCGGGAGCGGCATTGGCCTGCCCTGACAATCCGGTTGGAACGTAAAATTTGTATATTTAGTTTTGAGGATTTTAATTTATGGTGAGCGTCTTCAAAATGCTACCGAGGCTTCGCGAGAGTTTGCAGTTCGCTTTCCCAGGGCCGCCTAGATATGTTAACCTTGCGCAAAGATATAGGGATATAGGTCATTTTGCAGGAATGTAGAAAGTGGAAGAAGTATTGACCTTGTATAGAAAAATTCTTCAACAAGCACTAGGAAAGTGGCTAGACAAGTTCAAGTCTTCAAGTCTAAGGTGTGGTATACGCTGCGTGATGATGGTTTGTATCCTTTCGTACGAGCCTTCCATGCTGAGCATTTTTTCCTGCAAGAGTGCATTTTAAGAGTGGTTGTTGAAGTCCACGGACGGATCAGCCTTCACACGTAACGGTGCGAATAACTTCCGAAATACTCATGTGTGGTCGTTGGAGAATCCTCGCGTAGTTCGTCGATCACATTTTTAACAAACATTTTCTTCGGCCATTTCGACTAGCATGGTAAATGGTATGTCCATTGAATATTTTATTTACCCGACACGGATGAAAGATTTACCGTACCTAGACTTTTAAGAACAGTAAGTGACGGACCCGTACTTGAAGTTTCTCTGCAAATGAACGGTCAGAACTGTTTAACTGCTTTTTTTTACTTTACTTTCAGCACAACCTGTATATTGTCATTGTACTGAAAAAGATCACCTTTGTAATCGCAATGTTTTTTTTTTTTATATCGAAACAGCCGCGCAGGCAGAAGCCTAAATGCCGGAACACCGCGGCTGCTATGATGATCCCAAAGAAATTTTGTTAATACGATTTTTGAACTGCCTAAGGTTAGTAGAACTGGGAAAAGCTTCCTCCCGTAGATTGTTCCACAATCTAGACACCCTCGGGACAAAGGAGCGGTCGTATCGGCCAGTTCTGGATGTACGAAGTTTGACACGGTTAGGATGGGACGCCGAAGTCAGGCGGGTCTGACTGGCAGGCACATCGCGCGGCGGCATCATGGAAGAGAGCTCTGAGGAGCAAAGCCCGTTGGTGTAGCGATAGAAAAGAGCTAGATCGCCGACGGCCCGCCGGTGCTAAAGAGTCCCGAGACTGTCTGTTGGAGAAGAGTCATCGATCAGTCGGACCGCCCTCCTCTGGACAGCATCGAGCATGGACAATGTAGTCGGGGCGGCAGCACCCCAAATGTGTGAGCAATACTCGAGGCTAGGCCTTATCTGGGCCTTGTATAGAGTGAGAAGGTCATGCGGAGAAAAGTACTTCTTAGCCCTAAACAAATAGCCTAGCTTTTTCCCAGCAGCCGCAGCCATTGAAGAGATGTGTTCGTGCCAGATCAGGTCCTCGGTGATCTGGACTCCGACCAGCCGAAATGAATGGCTCTTTGGTAGAACTCGACCGTCCATCGAAACTGTATGAGCGCTAGGACGCTTTTTGTTCGTCAAAGTACAGTACTGCGTTTTGGAAGCATTGAACTGTACAAGATTGTTGCGTCCCCAAGCAGTGATAGCCTCCAGGTCTCTTGTCAGAGAAGAAGTCGTCGCTAGTCTTCTTTTTTCCAGCTCAGCGGCAGAGATCGGCTTGTCACTCTGAATTCCTGCATGTAGAGTGCTGTCATCAGAGAAGCTGTGGATTGGGTTGATCGTGCAGGAAAGGAGGTCGTTGATATGTAAGAGAAACAGTGTTGGAGCCAAGGCCGATCCCTGGGGAGGAGGAGAATCCGTCAATTACGACGGATATTTTGCGGCCAGAGATAAAGTCAGCCACCCATCTGCAAAGCTTTTCTGGGAGGCCGTAGGATGGAAGTTTGCTCAAGAGGGCAGCGTGCCACAGCTGATCGAACGCTTTCGTGATGTCAAGAGCAACGACATGAGCCTCACCATGAGACTGGATGAGTTTACTCCACAGTTGCGTGACGTAAGCTAGGAGGTCCCCTGTGGATCTTTGGTGCCGGAAACCGTACTGCCTGTCGCTAATCAAGCTGTGACGTTCGAGGTAGTCCAGAAGCTCGCGATTTATGCACCTCTCCATCAGTTTACTTATAACAGAAAGCAGAGCTATAGGCCTGTAGTTGTAAGGGTCGGTTTTAGATCCTTTTTTTGGGATGGGCTGTACATGAGCAAATTTCCAGTTTTCTGGGAAGGTGCCGGATTCGTAAGATATCTGGAATAGACGCGAAAGAACTGGAGCAAGCTCAGCTGCACATCTCTTCAGTACAATGGCAGGAATCAAGTCCGGACCAGAAGCTTTGTTGATGTCGAGCGACAAGAGCACTCGTCTTACGGTCTTATGCCTGAATGTTACCTCCCGCATAGTGTGGGGAACCCTTTGAATTGACGGTACTTGGGCGTTGGTGGGGACGTCCATGGTGGAGTTGGCAGCAAAGATCTTGGCTAGCACTTCCGCCTTGGCCTTTGAGTCGAATACAATAGTTCCATCCTGACACGTAAGTGGTGGAAGGCTATCTGTGTGAGAAGTTCTTTTCAATCTGCTTGGCCAGCGTCCAGAAAGACCGACTGCCATTGCGCTGCGACATTACCCTGTGCCTAACTTTTATATCATGCTGGGTTTTGGCATTGCGAACCGCTTCGTTATATTTGTTTCTGGACTCGACGTCGGCTTGTCTGTTCTCTACAGTGGGGTTTTGTAAGTAGGTTCTGTGGGCCTTGATCTTCTGCTGGCGAGCAGTGTCACACGATTTGTTGAACCAGCCGTTGGACCCTGGTTTAGGAACTTTCACTGTGTGTGGGATGTATTCCTCCATTCCGACGTGGATAATTTCGGTTATTGAAGAACAGACAGTCGACGCATCCGCGTCAGTGAAACAGACATCTCTCCAAGGAAAGCTATGTTTACAGTAAAGAAGATTTTATCAATGCATGTGGTTTTATTGCCAGTCAAGCAGGGGGGTTATCGACATATAAACCGCAGGATACGTTTCAGGTGTTACATTAATCCTTCTCAAGTTTGATTCACTGGAGAACTGAACTTTTAAAAACACGGTTTGCTTTTCCGGAAATATATAAAAAGGAATTTTTCGAGGAGTTCCTTTATATTGACTGCAAGAATTGAACGTGTTAATAGAGAAAACTTGTTGAATCAAAAAATTGTTCTGGAAAAATTTCCTTACCCGTTACACATTTTTTAATTGCTCTTAGTAACTAAATTATTCGGTTTATTCAAACTGAATTTTCTGGAACCAGTTTCATCAATGAAAATATCGACTTTTGATTCTAAAGCATCAACAATCAATGATTAATGATATGCTAATATGAGTGTGAATCTGCATGATGAATTAATGTTAGTTTGCTTTATAAACTATGGTCCAAAAATGTTTCCTTACAAAAACTCGGGGTATTGAAGATTTAGGAAAAAATGGAAATGAATTAATATTTTGAAAACCGCTTCAGATATTTCACTGATATTTAGTACGTAGTGAAAGTTAATAAAGTTGCATACTTTTCAATGCAAAAATAATTTTTAGCTTTAACAGTGACGTGCGTACGGGTGTTGACTTCGATATTTTTTAAGAAAAAAATAGTACGCCAATGGTTTTTTGCCAAATAAAAATTATTTTCGAATTCCTCGTTCAATTTAAAACAAATGACCTCTCTTGAATTGTTTTCCTTCGTTGTGTCATTTTTGAGTAAAAAAATAGAAACCGTTCTATTGTCCCAGAAAATTAATGTGATAATTGAAGAATGCAATTTAGCAATAAATATCTGGTTGCTCTGGAATATGTCACTGGCATCTTTTCCATTGTTTAGTTTTTACAATCTCGTTGTTAATGGTGAGTTATTCAAATGTATAAATGGCGGAAATGCATTACGTATATGGTCTTGCCTAGAGATTTAAAATTTCCGGAAAAATTGAGGAAAGAAAGGAAAAATACGGAAAAATTTAAATTTGTTATATACAAGATAAAGGTATTCTATTCTTACTGATTTTTCCATTAAATATGAATCAAACAGAAATAATTTGAATCAAAACCTCAAGCTACGGCTCTGAAGGATCGGTTCTCGGTAAATACCCGTCGATTTTCGGTGAATCCCCGACCACTGCAGCTTTCGGTTAATTCCCGATCACGTACAGCGACACGGTATTTCGGTAAATCCCCGTATTCCTGAATTGTTCAGTTGAGAATGAGATTCTTCAATATTGACACGTTTTGTTTATTTTAAAGCACGCATTTTAATTTAGCCTTATCATAAGCGCAGTAAATCAATAATACAAAGTGAAATTTTGCTGTAATAATTGAGTGTGTTTGATCTGAAGATTGTTAGTGCTTGTTTTGGTTTCTGGTAAGTGAATATTTGATTAAATTTGGAATAGCTTTAAGTGTTTTGAAGGTGGGATTTCAGTTTCCTTGCATATTTTCCTTACTTTTCTTTATTACTAATATCAAGATTCAGTGATAATAATTATTATCTGTATACTCATTAAATATCAAGAATTTGATCAATTAAAAAATATTTAAATTTTCCCATTTTTTCCAATTTTCCCATGGTTTGGAAAAAAACGTGTTTTTTTCCTAATTTTTCCCGTTTTTGTCGGATATGTTAAATCTCTAGTCTTGCCGACGGTAATGGTGAGCAGGCCAGACGGACTTATCACCAGAGATATCCCGATCGTGCTTTGCCAGATAGTTGAACCTTTCCTAATATTCATCGTCGTCTTGTTGAAACTGGTTCTGTCCGAAAAGGAACATCTGAAGGTAGATATCTAAGTGTGAGAACACCTGAAATTGAGGAATTAAGAGAAACAATAGTTGCAGCTTGTGACAGAATAAAATACACTCCAGGGATATTTCAATGAGTGCGCAATTCTATGAGCAGGAGGGCGGAAGCATGCATATTAAGTGAAGGGGGCCGTTTTCAACAATTTTTGTAATCATTTCGTTGGTTTTAATGTTATGTTTATGTTGACAGTTGTTGTTGTTCATTACCCCTAATGTGTTTAATTTTTCCAATTAAATTAATAATAATTTGGAAGTTAGACAATAGAACAGATTTTATTTTTTTACTCAAAAATGGCGCATCGAAGGAAAACAATTCGTGAGAGATCATTTGTCTTAAATTGAACAGAAAATTCAAAAATAATTTTTGTTTGGCAAAAAATCATTGGCGTATCATGTTTTTCTTAAAAAATATCAAAGTCAATACAAGTACGCACGCCATTGTTAAAGCTAAAAATTATTTATGCATTAAAAAATATGCAGCTTTATTAACTTTCACTACGTACTAAATATCAGTAAAATATCTAAAGCGGTTCTGAAAATATTAATTAATTTCCATTTTTTTTCCTAAAACTTCAAAACCCCGAGATTTGTAAGGAAACATTTTTGGACCATTGTTGATAAAGCAAACCAACATTAATTTTTCATGTAGATTCACATCCTTAAATATTCGCATATCATTAAGGAACACCCTCATTTTGAATCCAAATAAAGTAATTCATTGAAACTACCAAACACTTTTACCTAATCCTGTAACAGGTAAACTTATTCGATTTTTAGAATTAAATGATGTCTTTTGGTTTAATTAAAATAGTTTCATAGATTTGAGTAAACTGAGAAATAGGAGTTTAATTAAACTTGTCAGCTGTCTATAGTTAATCAATTGCTTTAAGTAAATTTGTGTTACCAATCTAAGTAAATGTATTTAATAAATAAAGAAACACGATTCCGTTTTGGTGTAGTTAAACTGGTTTCAAAGATTTAAGGAAACATTTTTGGACCATTGTTGATAAAGCGAACCAACATTAATTTTTCATGTAGATTCACATCCTTAAATATTCGCGTATCATTAAGGAGCACATTCATTGAAGCTACGAAACACTTTTACCTAATCCTGTAACAGGTAAACTTATTCCATTTTTAGAATTAAATGACGTCTCTTGGTTTAATTAAACTAGTTTAATAGATTTGAGTAAACTGAGAAATATGAGTTTAATTAAACTTGTCAGCTGTCTATAGTTAATCAATTGCTTTAAGTAAATTTGTGTTACCAATCTAAGCAAATGTATTTAATAAATTAAAAAAACCACGATTCCGTTTTGGTTTAGTTAAACTGGTTTCAAAGATTTAAGAAAACATTTTTGGACCATTGTTGATAAAGCGAACCAACATTAATTTTTCATGTAGATTCACATCCTTAAATATTCGCATATCATTAAGGAGCACATTCATTGAAACTACGAAACACTTTTACCTAATCCTGTAACAGGTAAACTTATTCTATTTTTAGAATTAAATGACGTCTCTTGGTTTAATTAAACTAGTTTAATAGATTTGAGTAAACTGAGAAATAGGAGTTTAATTAAACTTGTCAGCTGTCTATAGTTAATCAATTGCTTTAAGTAAATTTGTGTTACCAATCTAAGTAAATGTATTTAATAAATTAAAAGAAAACGATTCCGTTTTGGTTTATTTAAACTGGTTTCAAAGATTTAAGTGAACTGTTTTAGGATTTGGAGTTTAATCAAATTTATTAGTTTAATTTTTCAAATAAATTTGTGAAAACGGTTTAGTAAATTCACTTGAATCATTCCTTTTGGTTTAATTTGTTAGCTGTCTATAGTTAAATAATTATTTCAAATAAATTCGTACAATCAATCTAAGTAAGCGGTTTAATAACTCAAATTGAACGATTCCGTTTTGGTTTAATCAAAATAGTTTCATAGATTCAAGTAAACGGTTTTAGAAACCGGAGTATAATTAAACTTGTTAGCTGTCAAACAGAAAATTATTTTTTTTTAATTTTCTCAATTAAAATTTTCAATGATTAAACATTTGTATCTCAGTATTCTAATAGTCTCCTCGATAATTCAGTTTGAGCGTTAATTTCGGTGAGGTTACAAAGATATAAAGTACCTTTTCGTACATAATGACAGAAGCCGAATGCATCTGCGCCATTTTCTCCACAACCATGAAACAATGCTCCAAATCGAATCCAATGTGTCTCGGCAAAACGTTAAATCCACTGGTTGTAAGATCTTCCATAAGTATCACCCTATGAGGTTCTATGGCCGTGTAGAGACATTTAGCAGACAAAGTGTAGTATTTTCCTTGGAAAAAAAAAGAACATAAATAAGTTCGACTTTTTTGTAATAATATGTGATATTTTTTTAATGTAGCTACTAGGTGATTTGAAAAGTTTCTGCACTCGTATAGAGAGCACGTTGGTATCAGTGAACATATTGTTTGTGGCTAGTGGTTGTTGTTATTTCGTGATGTTATCTTAGGAAATTCAAAAATTTCAAAATTACTTACATTAGAGACAATTGATTGAAAATGAAATTAATAGCGATATGGTGAATGTACCGAGAATTAATGCTCCATCCCAGTAATTTTACTACCTACGCGGGCGAGGAAGAATTGTAATCGGGAAACATTTTTATAATGGGATATTGCGTTTTTTTGATGTTATATGACATGACGATCTATCTGTCTGATGATAAATAAAGCTACAGATAACAAACTTAATTTAAGACAAAATTAGCTAAACATTAGGAAATAGAAGTTAATGATTCTGTTTGTTTGATATCCTTTTGTATGGAAAATTTATTCGACTACTTATACGAGGTCCTTCCCACTTCAGTTGGCCCAACTATTGAAATCTTAGTTTTTTTCTTATTAAACACAAATGATAAAAATATAGCAGGTTGTTATAGGTTTAAAATATTAACAATGAATATTTTGATAATATATAGTAGAAAACACCAACTTTATCATTCCCTAATCAAATTTGCAGCATAAAAATAGCACATGTTGCAATTACAGCATATCAACCTATTTTCATTTCAATGCAAAATAAGTCTATAACGCATAGGTGGCTGTTAAAAATAAAAGCCATGACAATTGTTTTTATTAATCACAGCTATCAGAATACGTTTAAAATAGTTTTGGGTAGTTAAGGTTTTCAAAATGGGTAGAGGAAAGGTTATTAGTGAGAAAATTCGGTTACTGATAATTAAATTTTTTATTCTGGGAAATCAAACTCAGAAATTGTAACTTTGTTAGACTTATCGCGGTACAGTGTGAGAAATATCGTTAGAAGATATAACGTAACTGGTTCAGTTAATATTAAGCCACGATATGTGAAAAAAAGTAATATCACAAATGCCGACCGAAGAGCATTAAGAAGAATAATCGTGAAAAACAGGCGTGCCAATTATTTACAATTAAGTGCTCTGTGGAGTGACGCTGTTGGAAGGAGAATGTCGAGGTCGACAACTCATAGAGAGGCCCACAAACTGGGATTTTGCACTTGCAAGGTAAGTTTTCTTATAAAAACCCTAAAGTTGCACAACTTATTTATAGGCCAAAGAAAAGCCACTATTAACTCCACTGCAAAAGAAAAATCGGCTTAGATGGGCTAAAGAACATAGACAATGGACACCTCAACAATGGTGTGCAATACAATGGAGTGATGAGGCCCGATTCGAAGTTTGTGACAGTCGCAGTAGATTTATTCGCAAAAAATGAAGCATTCCATGTTGACTGTCTGAAGAGAAAAGTGAAATTTCCAGCATTTATTATGGTCTGGGGCAGTATGTCATCAAAAGGAGTAGGAAAACTTCATTTTCTTGATCGAAATGTGGATACAAACAAATATTTGGTGATTTTCGAAGAATTGCTTTTACCAGTGATGGAAGAGTGTTTGACATCCGACCAAGATTTTGTGTTTTAGCTAGATGGTGCAGCGTGCCATACCTCAAAAAAGGCTATAAAATGGACGGAAGAAAATAATGTACCACTTTTGAAATGGGTTTCTAGCAGTCCAGATCTGTCACCTATTGAAACTTTATGGCACGAGATGAAAAAGGTTCTACGAAAAGTAAGTAAGTAGTTTGTCTTCTTTAATGTTTCACGGCCTACACGATCTTCATATTTTTGGGCTCACCAGTGCCTAAGTTTGACATGGCTGATGTTGAGTCTAGAAACTTTGAAATGATATACGATCATCTACATTGCCTTCCAAAACAAGTAATCTAGTTCTTATAGGATCCACTTCTTAAAAATGAATACTGGAAAGTGAACTAAAAAACGAATATCGGAAAGTAAACTAAAATGAAATCTCAATGTAACGTCTGCTTCATAAACACTTTTTGTATATCGAACCAGAAATTAAACAGAAATCTTGAGGGTCAAACTCACAATAAGCTAATGATGATATACTGCTTACGTATTGAATTGATACGGTGCAGTATAAAAAACCGTTCGTTAGTGTTGAAAAGTCTTGTTATAAACGAGGTTTGCATACCTAGAATTTCATATATGGCAGGGAAGGTCCTGCTATACATTTCTGCCTCTTTTTCAAAAAGGTGTAACTTTTTTGCCATATCTTCCTTGACTCCACCCTCTTCATTTCCACATTTAACAATAACGGAAAGTTCCTCGATTTTTTCTCTGAAAAAATATAACAAATATAGGGGTAGCTACGAAACAAATATCTGTAGTTCATCAAGCAGTATAGGAAATGCAAAATAAAGACAAGTAGACTGAACACTTGCTACTTGTCGATACAAAATAAAGTGCTTATAAGCACCCTTAAAACTCTAGATTCGAAAAACGTTATAAACTTGTTTATCTGCAATTACGGATCAAACTGTCAGTTTTGATTGGAGTAAAACAGGAATATTCAACTTTGACTATTATATTTTACGTATTTCACACTGATTACTAAAAATAACACGACCCTTAACTATGCAAAATTTCACAACGGTCATATAGGAAAATCAAGTCTTATCAGCCTGAAATTTCGTAGGATTCAAAAAGAAAATAGACTGACGATACGACTATAAATATACTAAGTGACATATAAATCCGAACACCCAGTTTAAATGGTTTTATTTTAATAAAATGTTGTATAAGTACTTAATGAAGCATAATAAGTAAATGATAAAAATTTCAAAATGATTGCACTGCTTTAAAGCCCTTTGACCTTTAATAATGTGTGGATGCACCCTGATGTGCTACGCATTCTCCAACGCGCCTCGGCATGCTTCTGATCAGGTGGTCAATGTCCTCCTGTGGTATCTCATTCCAGGCAACCACCAACTCCTCTCGAAGTGCTTCTAGAGTCTGAGGAGGACGTTGCAAATTGAGCAATATCTTACCCATCATATCCCACACGTGCTCAATTGGGGATAAGTCGGGAGATCTTGGTGGCCATGGTAACAATGTGACATCATTATGTTGAAAGAAGTCTATTGTGACTCTTGCAACATGTGGTCGGACATTATCTTGTTGGAAAGTTGGATCTGCCAGGGTGTCAAGATAGGGTAAAAGATGGGGGTCTAGAACTTCGTGGATATAACGCTGCGCGTTCATGTTACCTCTGATGAAGATTAAAGGTGACCTGGAACCATAAGCTATAGCACCCCAAACCATAACTCCAACAGTGTGATGAACATGTCTTTCAACAAAAAACTGTGGATTCCTCCGTTCACCACGTCGCCTTCTAACCCTGGCACGACCATCGTGCATGCCTAAACAAAATCGAGACTCGTCACTAAAGACAATACTGTTTCATTCCTGATCCCAGAGTGACCGTTGTCTGCACCACTCAAGGCGATTACGTCTGTGTTGTCGAGTGAAAGGGAGGACCCAGTGTGGCCGGTATGAAAACAAGCCAAAACTTCTCATTCGTCGGTAAACACTTCGCATGCCAATAGGTCTTCCGTGTTCTGCAAACCATTCATTTGCAATGGACCTGGTAGTGGAGAAACGGTCCCTTAGGGCCAATAATCCTAGGCGGCGATTTTCACGGTCTGTTGTTCTACGGCGGCGTCCAGTGCCACTTGCTCTTTGCGTACGGCCTTCTCGAAGTCATGCCTGACGACACCTAACCACAGTGTCTACACTTCTTTGCACTCTAACTGCAATTGCCCGAAAAGAAAGTCCAGCTTCCCGAAGTCCCACTATACGGCCCCTATCAAACTCACTAAGTTGACGAAATCGTACAGGTCTCGGTACCCTAGGCATCGTAACCGATCGTAAAGGATGTCAAGAACCAAAATCCGCCAACGTTGATTCTTTACTGCGGCTGAAATATTCATTTTTAGAGCGTTAGTGAATTAAAAAAAAAGCAGTATAAAAACCCGAATGTCCAACTGATAAGGCTGAAAATTTTTTCACTTGTTATTTACAGTAAGATAAATACATTCACCAACTTTTATTAAAATAAAACCATTTAAACTGGGTGTTCGGATTTATATGTCACTTAGTATATTAAGAACTGTAACATTGTGCTAAAAATCTACCAAACTCACCTCTTGTTTAAACGGAACGTAACTTTTGTCCTGAATAAATCGCTAGTGTAATTTTCACCTACAGCTACGGCATCTTTGGATACATAGGATATGATTTCGATGCATTTTGTATTATAAAATGTTTTCAATGAATTTTCAAATAATTCCTTTGATATCCATATGGGTACCAACATGATGTCTCCCACACAAGTCCCTGAAACGTATGTCAAAGCTCATAATATATTGCAACAAGAAGGGCATCGATGTAGATACGTTAGTCGTAAATGAAAGCTTTATCTGTGAAAACAGAAGTAATTCCATTTAATATGTCAATTTAGTTGGCGTTCAATTCCACCAACAAAATACGGTGCTGGATCTAACATTTAAGATAGTTATCAAATGTATCAGTTTTCGCACTTATTTGGAAAATAACTATATTCAATGGTAGTAGTCATTCGCAATACCAGCATTGTCACTAGAACCTGAGTGCATAGATGGACGTAACCACCCATTAGTTTAGGCACAAAAAAAAGATGGTTCATTAGAGAGGTATTTAGAAATGGACAAAAGCAAAATTTCATCTGATTTTGTTTAATTTTGATGAAAAGAATTTTTTAGGATCTGCGTCCAAGTCTTCCAGAAATTGTCTAGAACTGGTAAACGCAGCTGTCAGCAAGAGTGATAAGTATAAAAATATTGATGTTTCTCAGCCCATAAGTGCTCCGATTTAATACTTTTAGGATTGATATTAAATTTTAATATTGATTTTTATAATGCTTCACTGCAATGTTATGTTATTTTCAAGGGCAAATCTGCTATCACCAATTTGGTTATTTTCAGCTCGTCACTGATATTTTTAATAACCTTGGTGAGGTGAATGTGATCTATACAGAGCTTTTGGGAAGATAGATCATAGTGTACTAATTTTGGATTTGGTAATTTAATGATTAATTTACTTCAATCATGACTTGAAATTAGGTTTCAATATGTCTTTTATAATGGTTCTCATCTCAAGATTAAATAGCAGCTTCAGGTGTGCTACAAGGTTCCAACTTAGGTCTCCTTCTATTTTCTCTGTACATAAACGATCTATTTGGCAAGTTGTCTTGTTTGAATTCGACACCAGAACATTGATTCGATCCATAATTGGTGTCTAGCTAGCAAGCTGTACACGTATGCATCTAAATGCAAAAGTCTAAGAAAAAAAAGCAGATAACACTGGACAACAAATTTTAGTTTTTTAATTGTTACTTGTGGGAAAAGTGCACTTCTTTGTTAATTTTGGGGCGCTGAATCCAAAAATGACAATGAAATTAAAAAATTAGTTGCGGTTTAGAAAAAAAACTTTTTATTTTTAAGGATATATTAAAAAAAGTAACAAGATTCATATACTTATAAGAATCACTATATGCGCTGTCTTTTTGCTGTTCTTTTATGGATCGTTTCTGGAGCATCTCTACCAAGAGTCCAACAGTAGTCTGCAAGCATGGAACGATTCCACTTTCCCTGGTACCTTTTTTCCATTGTTGAAATATCCTGATGAAAACGTTCGCCGTGCTCATCACTTACGGCTCCGCAATTGTCAGGAAAAAAGTCCAGATGTGAGTGTAGGAAATGTATCTTAAGAGACATATTACAGCCCATCTTTTGATACGATGACAGCAAATTTTTGACAAGGGTTTTATAGTTGTCAGCTTTTCTATTTCCCAAGAAATTAGTGACCACCAGACGGAAATCATTCCAAGCAGTTTTTTCAATACCTGTTAAAGTGTTTTCAAACTGTGTATCTTTCAAAATATTTCGAATCTGTGGCCCAACAAAAATACCTTCTTTAACCTTTGCCTCACTTAGTCTTGGAAATTTCTGACGCAGGTATTGAAAAGCTGACCCATCTCTACCTAATGCCTTGACAAAGTTTGTCATTAGGCCCAACTTGATATGCAGTGGTGGTAATAATTTTTTTTTCGAATCTACTAATGGCATATGCTGTACATTTTTTGACCTGGCTCTAGAAATTGGCGAACAGGCCAGTTTTGTCTGGTGTAATGAAGTACCTTTGCCCGACTGTCCCATTCACACAAAAAACAGCAAAACTTTGTGTAGCCTAGCTGCAGCCCAAGTAAAAGTGCAACAACTTTCAAATCGCCACAAATATGCCATTGGTGCTCATCGTATTTTATGCATGTCAATAGGTACTTCATATTGTCATATGATTCTTTCATGTGAACTGCATACCCTACAGGAAGAGATGGTAAAATATTTCCAATATGCAATAACACTGCCTTTAAACTCAATGTTGAACTGTCTATAAACAATCTCCATTCTTCTGGGTTATAGTTTATATTTAAAGCCGCCAGTAAGCCGTTAATGTTACTGCAGAAAACCAAGTTATTCTCCATATTGAAAAATGGTTCTAAGTATTTGTGGCGTTTACGAAAAACACATACCGAAACATCGTCTTCTAACAAGTTCCACTGCTGCAGTCTTGATCCAAGTAACTCTGCCTTACATTTTGGAAGTTCTACATCTCTTACAAGATCATTTAATTCTGTCTGTGTTATATTGTGCGGTTGGTGGCATGACGTGCTCGGTATAAAATCAGGATCTCTTGACGTTGATGGCATATCTTCTTCCTGACGAATCACTCGATCGCCATGATCTGATTCGTTTTCTGATTCGGAAGTGTAGGATTCTGGGGGTTTTGGAATAGGATTTTCGTCACTGTGAGGCACAGGTCTCATCGCAGATGGTATGTGGTAGTTAATAACCGATTTTTTTTTCTTGGACATACCTGTGGCTTGTCCAACACAAGGTACCATGCAAAAGTAACAATCATTAATATGATTTGTAGGCTCTCTCCAAACCATTGGGACAGCAAAGCGCATAGACCGTTTTTTGTCATTTAACCAGCTCCTCAGACTTGAAGCACATGTATTACAGCAGATGTGGGGTGCCCACTGTTTGTCTTGATCACCTAGTTTACAACCGAAATAAAGCTGATATGCCATTGTTATTAGTGGAGTAATAGACCGTCTCTGAGACGCAAAAGTCACATCACCACACACGTAACAAAACTGATCTGGATTGTTTACACACTTTCGAGACATCTTGCATGAACTTAGGAAAAAATGGCTAATATAAAACAATATAATGTACACGTATGTATAGCGTAACACAATCATGCCGATTACATCATCTTTCCTTGCCGAATATAAAAATGTAGCACGTGCATTCTTGTGAATTACAGTATATTAACACTGTCACAGCAGGAACACATATAATTACCGTATCTCTAAAACTTGAACTAACATTGAAAAAATAAGTTTCATTCCGGTTTTAGCACATTAAAAATAGTAATATTTTGTTGATTTTATTTAGGATATTTTTTGGCTGTTGATCAGTGTAATTGAACGTCAATATAAGGTTGCGATTAATGATATCTCAAAAGTTGATCAAACTGAGGATCTGGGTGAATGGTTCGATGAAAAACTAGCCTTTAACTATCACACCAATTTAAAAGTATCGATAGATTCAAATTCTATGGATTTATAGTCAGAAATTGTAAAAAGTTGGGTAATATGCATCTTTAGTTTGGAAGCCATCCTATATAAATTATAAGACCTCCTTAGAAAAGATGCAAGGGAGTTTTCTTAAATATGTAAGTTTAAAATGTGATGCCTCATATCCTACAACGCACATTTCTGAGGTGCATCTGTGTTATAAGCTTGGCTTGTCACTCCTTGATTTGAGGCGCATTCAACCTTCATTAATATTTTTATATAAACTGTTGCATAACAAAATAGATAATATGCACCTATTATCACAGATGAATTTCAATGCACCGTCATTGAGTCTTAGGTCGTACCTATATTTTCATTCTCTTAGATGCAATCTAATTTTAATATTATTAATAATGACATCAATGCTTACTGTCTGATCCTTTTATTTGATAAATCATCTGAACGATATGTAATTGATTTTTTCATATTCTTTTTTTTTTTGTTTCCTTTAGATATATACTAAGTGACATATAAATCCGAACACCCAGTTTAAAGGGTTTTATTTTAATAAAAGTTGGTGAATGTATTTATCTTACTGTAAATAACAAGTGAAAAAATGTTCAGCCTTCAGTTGGACATTCCGGTTTTTATACTGCTTTTTTTTAATTCACTAACGCTCTAAAAATGAATATCTCAGCCGCAGTAAAGAATCAACGTTGGCGGATTTTGGTTCTTGACATCCTTTACGATCGGTTACGATGCCTAGAGTACGGAGACCTGTACGATTTCGTCAACTTAGTGAGTTTGATAGGGGCCGTATAGTGGGACTTCGAGAAGCTGGACTTTCTTTCCGGGCAATTGCAGTTAGAGTGCAAAGAAGTGTAGACACTGTGGTTAGGTGTTGTCAGGCATGGCTTCGAGATGGCCGTACGCAAAGAGCAAGGGGCAGTGGACGCCGCCGTAGAACAACAGACCGTGAAGATCGCCGCCTAAGATTATTGGCTTTAAGGGACCGTTTCTCCACTACCAGGTCCATTGCAAACGAATGGTTTGCAGAACACGGAAGACCTATTGGCATGCGAAGTGTTTACCGACGAATGAGAAGTTTTGGCTTGTTTTCATACCGGCTATACTGGGTCCTCCCTTTAACTCGAGAACACCGACGTAATCGCCTTGAGTGGTGCAGACAACGGTCACTCTGGGATCAGGAATCGAACAGTATTGCCTTTAGTGACGAGTCTCGATTTTGTTTAGGTATGCACGATGGTCGTGCCAGGGTTAGAAGGCGACGTGGTGAAAGGAGGAATTCACAGTTTTTTGTTGAAAGACATGTTCATCACACTGTTGGAGTTATGGTTTGGGGTGCTATAGCTTATGGTTCCAGGTCACCTTTAATCTTCATCAGAGGTAACATGAACGCGCAGCGTTATATCCACGAAGTTCTAGAACTCCATCTTTTACCCTATCTTGACACCCTGGCAGATCCAACTTTCCAACAAGATATTGCCCGACCACATGTTGCAAGAGTCACAATAGACTTCTTTCAATATAATGATGTCACATTGTTACCATGGCCACCAAGATCTCCCGACTTATCCCCAATTGAGCACGTGTGGGATATGATGGGTAGGGGATCAATTTGCAACGTCCTGCTCAGACTCTAGAAGCACTTCGAGAGGAGTTGGTGGTTGCCTGGAATGAGATACCACAGGAGGACATTGACCACCTGATCAGAAGCATGCCTAGGCGCGTTAGAGAATGCGTAGCACATCAGGGTGCATCCACACATTATTAAAGGTCAAAGGGCTTTAAAGCAGTGCAATCAGTTTGAAATTCTTATCATTTACTTATTATGCTTCATTAAGTACTTACAAAAGTATACAAAATTTTATTAAAATAAAACCATTTAAACTGGGTGTTCGGATTTATGTCACTTAGTATATATTTTTGAGAATTCATAGTTTGTCCTGTAAATGTAATGGATTTCTGTTGGGCAATAAAGCATCATTATTAAATTTTCCGACCTAGCATGTTGAAAAACTCACCTACTTTCCACCAGCTTAAACTCTACACATTTCTAGGAACATTTCCATCCATTTCGAGTATTTATACTCGTTTTTCGCGTGACTTCCTTTAACGATGCTTAACAGTTTCCGAACGATATTCAAATATGTTCAATTGGCTTCAAAAACAGGTACTAATTGCTGTAATCCATCGTTTCATTTTTAATTTCGGTATAATATGCACTTATTCAAACATGATATGATTATAACCTGTCAGGCGGATTTTTTGATCGGGTATAATTTAGTGTAAATACTTGCATGTTAGAATTGATCTGCAATTTGGTGGAAATTACTATGTCAAAACGGGAGAACCGTTTGTGCTTTTCATCGCAGATCCTGATTTTCAATTTGAGATTTGTCATATTTATCTGTTACTGCTACTTTCCACGTAAGTCTATTTTTATTGGTGCAAGTTGTTCAAAAGGATATTCAAAACGTAGACGCATAAAATGGATACACCAATGTTTATGAGAGAACTTTTTATTCCACAACAAAGAACGAGAAAACGTGCTTTTTTTATTTAATCAAAAGTGTTGACAGCAACAAAAAAACTGTTCAGATAAGATATTTAGGTGTTTATGATACCTACAAAATGAGATAACATATAAAAAGATTCGATCAACAGCAAAAAAGTTATAGCCGAAAACCTAGTCATAGTGCACTTGTTTATCCCAAAACACATGTTTTCCGGCCATCACTACAATATACAAGGTTTGTTATAAGGTCATTTTATAGCAAAATACACGACTGTACCTCGCCAATAATAATCACAAACCATTTCAAAAGAGGGATGTTATTTTTATGCGTAAAACAAAGGGTTAAGTTTTTTTATAAACAAATTCAAACATTTCGTATTTGAGAGTAATTGATACGTTGCGATATTCGAAAAACAGGTTAAATATTTAGAGCCGAAATGTTTACAAAATCACAAATGAGCCTTAAAGTTTATAAAAAAAAAATGATTAAATACTAAAATGCACTGAACTTATACCACATTTAAAAAAAATAAAAGGAAGCCTTGTGTAGTCGAACCTGGATTCCGTAACCAGCATTTTGATTAGGTTTTAGTTGTTGCTATTAGTCGGATCTTTTGAAGTGTGGTCTCATTTTGTATGTCTCAATAATATATAAAAATCTCATTTGAAGAGTTTTTTTGTTTCTGTCAAAACTTTTGATTGTATCTTTGTTATTGAATAAAAAGATTTGCCACAAAAATTATCTACCCATTTTATGGGTCCGTGATTTAAATACCCTCTTAAATAACTTGTATGAATAAAACGAAACTTTACAATTATTACAATTTGCTGGTATGATTAGACTATAGTCCAAAAATTTGAGATGATGCGTTTGTTCGATGGTGACATTTCGATAAGATCGATATGACTAGTGTCAGTTGGTCTGCTTTTCTGGTGTGTGGTCACTTCCTAAGCCTAATAAGATCATTGTGACGCGATCTTTTTTCTATTTGTAGGACGCCTTTATGGCCTCCTTGATTTTCATGGTTTTCTCATCCTTCAGGAAGGCAGGTGTATTTCTAGATTTCTACTGTTTCGCGTAAGCGCTCTATTTTGAGGTTATATACAGGGTGTCCACAAAGTTGGGGTTTTCCTTTACACGACGTGTAGATCTTGAAAACATAAGCAATTTTTCTTAGTACCATATACACCAATGTCTTAAGGGATCCGAGATAAAGGTAAGTAAGTAAAGTAAGTAAGTAAATTTATTAGCAGCAGATTCAACATGTATACAGTTTTTTACATCATATTAAATATATAGACTTTACAATTATTGTATAATATTTAAATCCAGCTATCTATTCTTAAAATTACCCACTATTGCTAATAGTTTTAGATGCACAATTGTATTCAAAATACTGTGTGTGCACCCCATTCACATTGTTAAGTGTAACTTTTTCATTGAGGTTCTTAATTCTAGTTTACAAAGAGAAAAAGAAATATAAAAATAGATCAAACAAATTCAAAGCTATTATGTTTTATCTTAAATTTTAGGAACTTAATACCTTTAATGCTACAGGTTTTTATATTACATAATTAATGGCGTATTGACTATCAATAATCCATCTTGTTAATTCCTTTTTAACAGTAGAATATCTCAATCTCTTAATACTATTTGGCACATCATTATAAACTTTTGGACCTATACAGTAAACGTGACTCTGGCAAGCTGTGTGTCTAGGGTTTTGCAATTTTACTTTTGCATGAGCAGCACTTCTTGTATTTTGGCCATGCTGTAAGTGTTCTTTGTAGAAATCATATTTCATCATAAATCTTATAAGTGATTTTAAATAGAGCTGCTCTAGGTTCAGTATTTTACTGTCCCTAAAAACAAGTTCAGATGAATATCGTTTCTGTTTGAAAAGCATAATTTTTATGATCCATTTCTGAGCTACCTGTAACTTGGATAACGTTGCTAAACTTGTATTTCCCCAAACTACGAAACCATAATTAATTACAGATTCTGTTAAAGCAAAATAAACTGTTTTAAGAGTTCTGAAGTCTAATATTTCCCTTAATTCATAAAATTTGTGAATAAGTTTTCTAATCTTTGTTGTAACATACTCAACATGATCTTTCCAAGTAAGAAGTTCATCTATAATTATCCCTAGATATTTCAAGCTCGATTTCTTATTTATATATTTGCTACATGCACACTGAGGTGCAAAGTCACAATATGAGTCATGAATCTTAATGCAGTTTAGATTAGGCAAAGTACGCGAGGAAAGGGAAAAAGTCATAAAATTGGTTTTCTCAATATTTAGAGAGAGCAAACTAAAATCTAGCCAATTTTTAATTGTGTGCAATGCTCTTTCAGCTTTTAATTTGACGGAATCCCAATCTTCACCACTTACTAAAATACTCGTATCATCTGCAAAGCAATAGATAGTTATGTTTGCATCATTTAATTGTTCCATTATATCATTTATGTATATTATAAACAGCAAAGTTGAGAGAACCGTACCTTGTGGCATTCTACCTTCAAAATATTACTTTCCTGACCCGAGACATTTGTGATTTGTTCACGTCCAGAAAGATAGGACTTTATGAGTTTATTTGGAATGCCCCTTATTCCCAGATTATCCAAACGACCTAGTAAAATTGGATGTGTCGAATGCCTTTTTTAGATCTAAAAATATACCCATCACCTTTTTTCCTTGGTCTAGCCCTTTAAGAATACTCTCAGTGACCCTGACAAGTGCAACTTCAGTGTTAGAATTCCCTCTGAAACCAAACTGATTTAAGTTGAGTAATTTATGCTTTTCCAAAAACTGCATTAATTTTCTTTTCAGACATTTCTCAATAATTTTACTTACTGTACTAGTTAATGCAATGGGTCTATAGTTGTTCATGTCTTTTTTATCTCCTTGTTTGTGAAGAGGTATCACTTTGGTTTTTTTAATATTTGTGGAAAAATACCAGTACCAAAAACTAGGTTTATTATGTGTTTCAATGGAATACTAAGTTTTTCTTTATATTTCATGTTCCCTGTATTTTAGAGTAAATAAGTATTATTATTATTATATTTGATAAAATATTATCCTCCCCGCCTTTTACCCCATTCTTTAAACAGTTTATCTCCCTAATTACATCATCATTCGTCACAGGACACAAGAAAAGTGATTCATTACCTCTTTTTTCCCGCACTTCATTCCTCCAAGTACCTCTAGTAATTTCACTTGCTAATTTTTTACCAATGTTACAAAAATAATTGTTAAATTCATCTGCAACTTCTTTTTTATCAGTTGTTTCTGAATTAGTTTTGGTAGTGATACATTTTATTTCTGGTTTACTCTCTTGGTCATTGGTGGCCTCTCTAAGCACATTCCACAATTTTCTGGGGTTATCCAAATTTTTTTGTGTTAAATATTTGTAATAATTATACTTCACTTTCTTGATAAGTTTACTTAAAAATTTCCTGTATTCCTGATACCTGTTTAAAACTACGAAATTGCTGGGATTTAGTGCACATTCCCTTTTAAGGAGGTTTCTGTTTCGAATAGACATTAGGAGCCCACCAGTGAACCAAGGTTTTAATTTCTTTTTTTTATTGGGTATAGGCCTAGTTATAGTGGCTTTCAAAATGATGTCTTTTAGTCTATTAATGAAAGCTTCTGTGCAAAGCTCTACATTATTTTCTTGTAGAACATCACCCCACAACTCTCCGTTTAGTTTTTGTGTGATATTTTCGTAATCTATTTTTGTAAAAGTATTAATTTCATTTGTAATGCCCTCACCTAATCTATCTAGCTGAATATTAAGGAGAATGGGGTGATGATCTGTAAGGTCGCTCTTCAAAATCGCAGCCCTAACCTTTTCAAAAACATTACTCTTACATTTAATAAAAAAGTGATCCAAACAAGTCCCACTGTTATCAGTAATTCTTGTTGATTTATTAATTGCACTCATTAACCCATAGCCTTGCAATAAAGTCAAATAGTTATTTGTTGTATCTGTTTCCCTATCTAAGAGATCAATATTAATGTCCCCAGCAAATACATAAACCTTGTTCCGATCAGTGATGGAACGTTGAAATATTCTTCCTAGACTATCAATGAATTCATCCTTTAAAATACAAAAACACCTATACGTAGCTAGGAGAACAACCGTTGCATGATTTTTTTGCAAAGTGACACTAATAATCTTTAAATTATTTTCTTGAATTATTTGATTTGTAATATGATATTCATTTTTAACACAAATTATTGATCCATCACATCGATTAAGACTACTTTCGTTAAAGAATATTTTTTACCCAGGAATGTTAAAATCGTCTATATTGTATACATAGTGTGTTTCTGACATAATTATAACATCGAAAGATTTACTTAATGATTCAAGATACACCAAAAATTGGTCAAAATTTTGATAAATACTACGTATGTTTACATGCATAAAATTAAGGTCGCTTACAGAATTATCAAAGAAGTCTACTTGACATAAGTTATCACATATGTTTGTTTCTAAGATCTTATAATCATCAAAATACTGTTTATAGCCATTAAAAAAGAGAAAATTATTACTTACAAGTTCTGTTATAGATCTCCTAAAACATTTACTATACCTATACTATCTTAATTTGTCCAAATCAGCTCTGCAACATCAAAAATATCTGAATACCGTCCTGT